CCCCCTGCTCCCTTGCCCCCCTGACCTCCTGACTCCCTGGCCGTGCTCCCCGAGGGTCATGTGGACCTCCTCCTGGTGCAGAGGACAAGGGGCCGAGTCAGTACGATCTGGGGGAGCGAGGACCGCCCTCACCTGTCCGCTGCCCCGGGAGCTTCCCTGGGGGGGACCCCACGCCTCCCACCATCCATGACGCTGCTGCCAGAGCTGCGCTGGCCAATCACAGCTCTTTCCTGGGAGTTTTTGGGTTGTTTTTTTTTTTCAGTTTGGGCCCAGAGAAAGCTTCCATTGAACCCTTTCCAGGGGTGGCAGCCCCTAGAGGTAAATCTGAGAGCAGTCACGTCCAAATTTCCCGCTGATGGGGAAGCCTGTCTGCGAGAGAACAAAGCCGCAAGCACGGGAACCAGGGCCAGGAAGCAGAGGCCGCGGGTCACCTCTGCACCCCCGGATGACCGCGTGCATGCAGCCCCGCGGCTGCCCCACTTGCTTGCAGCGCGCCCTGGGCCCCACAGCCCCCGAGTCAGTGCATCCGCTCTGCGTCAGCGCTGTGCTTGCTTCCCGGAGTCCTCCCTGAACAATCCCAAAAGGAAGCCGGAAAGGACGGCTGCGTCTGAATCCCTCTGCAGACAGAGCTGCGCCGGGCGGGCCTCCCTGTTCCTGCCCAGGCATCTGCAGGGCATGCGCCCCCAGGACCGGTGGCCCCCTGCCCCCTGCACAGCTCGATGCCACGGTCTCCGCTGTGCCCGGGCTGCCACGTCGGGAGCCGAGGAGGAAGCGATTGGTCTCGTCCAATGCGACTGCTCTCTGGATCCAGTCTGACAAATGCGGTTCATTAGGGCCAACACAGACGAACATCCTTGTTTATGGGAGGCGGCTAAGTGCTCATCTCAGGGGCCAGCAGGTCAGATCTGGAGCAGGGCGTGCGTGGGGCTGGCTCGCCACGGCCCCCGGGAGACAGAGGCTGCGGTGGGAACACCAAGGCCAGGCACGTGCCACCTGCCATGGGCCGGTCCCACGGGAGCTTACGGTGGGGCTACAGTAAAATCCAGCAGCTTCCGTCCCCACCCTCCGAGCCTCAGCCTACTGTCTCTAGGTGGGTGCCCCGCAGTGTTCCTGCAGACACACTTGCGGCCACCAACACCCACGACGCGACTCTTACCGGCTGCGTGAGGGCCGGGTTGGGAACGTGGGGGCTGTCCTAGTCCCTGGACCGGGCGGCTTGCTTCCTCGCGGTGCCGGAGGCCGGGGGTCTGAGATCCAGGCTCGCACACGGCAAACTTCTCGTGGTGCCGTCACCAGGCAGAGTGCTGACGCTGGTGTCTCTTTCTCCTCCTACAAGGACACGAATCCCATCATGGGGGCTCCACCCTCCCGACCTCACCTCACCCGGTCTCCTGATACCAGCCCGTCTGGGGTTAGCGTTTCAACATGTCAGTTCTGGGGGGCACAAGGCAGGGGCGTGCAGGGAGGAAGGGCAGAGTTGGAATACTTCAGCAACTCCCACGGGGACCCCGAAGCATGCCGGCAGGTGCCTCCCTTCCTGGCCTTCTGACCATTTATCCCAGTCACCAGTCCCATGGCTCCAGGAGCCTGAGAAACTGGAGTGGTGACCTTCAGCCCTGCTGGGCAGCGGAACCGCCTACCGCTGTGGCTTTCAAAGTTTGGACCGTCATCCACAGTCAGGAAGCAGATTGTGCACCACCACCCAGGTGCACACGTGTGTGCATGCAGTGCATACACACACAAACACACACGAAGCTCATGTGTGCACACAGACGCAAAGCACACACATGCACAGCAAACATGCACATGCATACACACACATACAGAGGTGGGTACACATGCAATACACACATGCACACACGTGTGCACACCACACATGTGCACTCAGATGCACACACACAGCACACACGTGTGCACGCATGCACACCACACATGTGCACTCACAGATGCACACACATGTGTGCACACATACACACACAACACACACGTGTGCACACACACACCACACGTGTGCACTCACAGATGCACACACGTGTGCACACACATGCACACATACACACATAGACACACAGCACACACATGTGCACACATGCACACGACACATGTGCACACACAGCACACACGCATGTCACATGTGTGCACTCACAGCACACACGTGTGCACACATGCACACTACACGTGTGCACTCACAGATGCACACACGTGTGCACACATACACACATGCACACACATGCAGGATTTCAACAGTTTCACCAAACAACTTACCTGCAGAGTAGAATTCCCTCAGACTTTTCCTCACCGATGCAACTTTGTATTTTTATAAAAATGCTGGTTGCAACCTGATCATCGATTCCACAGTCGCCCGTGGGTCATAACCCTTGGTTAAAACAACGACAACCCCGACCTGAGGTTTCTGCAGCTCCCCGTGACCCTTGCTGGGCAAGGCCTCCAGGGAGGGGACACTTGAGCTGACTTGGAGGAGGACCATCGCCAGCCAGGCAGAAACAGCCTTGCAAATGCCAGGATGGAGGGAGGGAGAGAGAGAGAGACACCGGCTGGAGCCCCCGGGATAGGGGAGTGGGTGAGGGGCTGAGGGTCAGGTGGGGCCGGTCGTGGGGGTTACATGGCATGCAGAAGGGTTTGGGTGATATGCGAGGAGGTCTGGGGAGGGAGCCCACACTGCCACGTGGAGAGTGGATTTGGGGTGCCGTAGTCAGGGTGTGGGTGCAGACGCAAGGCTGGATTCGGGGGGCCCGTGGGCAGGGTGGTACCAAATGTGGGGTGCGGATAGCAAGGACACGGCTCCCGTAGGAGCACAGAGGAGGGCAGGAACCTCCCAGTGGACACAGGGCTCGTCCAGGCCAGCCCCTGCATCTCAGCCTTCACCCGCCCTCCAGCCTCCAGCCTCCAGCCTCGAGCATGACCCCAACGACTGTGGTGGCCTGCAGATCCGGAGGACGGGGATGGAGAGGGTGTCTCGCCCCAGAAGCACCACGATGGGCAGGCTGCCAGGCTCTGGGATTCTGCCCACGCGCCCGCTTGGGCTCTGCCCTGGCCTCCTGCTTCAGCCTCACATGGGCTTGTCCAGGGCTGAGTTGACCTGGAGAGGGGGTGTGAGGGGGCTCAGGCATGGGGTTGGGGGGCCTGAGCCCAATACCGGAGGAGAGGTCCCAGGGGGAACCTGTGTCCCATCGCTCCTGAGGCTCCTCTGGTTCCCGAGAGTGAATTACTCATCAGGGCCACCGTGCGTGACCTCAGAAGCAGCCCACCCCCAGCCGGCGCTCCCCGGTTCTGGCTTCCTGCGCATGAACCTCCCACCTTCCCCATCCTGAGCTGGATGTTTTCTGCCTTGCTCTGAATTTTCTTTTTCTTTTTCTGGCTTCTGTTTAAAATTAATTCCACAACACTGAATAACCTTTCCCCACAAGGTTGGAGTTAATCAGGCTGAATTTATTAAGATCTTTACGATTAAATGATCTCATACCAGGAGGAGGAAAGTTACCTTATTATCCCATTTTAAGAGTTTGAATCACCCAGTGACGTCCACCGTGGTCACTGATGACTTTGGGGAGCACTAGACCACAGTCCCGTCTGTGTTTCCCATCCCCGATGTGGGGAGAAGCCTGTCCAGACTGGTGAGTCATTGCAGAACACCGGATGACGAGGGTGTGCCGCGGAAACCCGTCTCCATTCTACGGGTAAACTTGGGCTCCAGAGGGGGCTTACGAGGGGATAGTTTCCTCCCAAGAGTTCCTCACTGGGGTGGGGGGAACTCTCAGCCTCGCCCGGATCCCTGCCCCCGCCTGCCCTTCCGGCTCTTCTCTCTTCAAGGCAGGGACCTCCAGCCCGCCTCCGACGAGGGCAGATAGACCAGACAGGTGGGGCTTTTAGAGCCCGGAGGGGGGCTCAGCTCAGAAACGGCCCTGCTGCTAGTCCCGCTCATTGTTCCTGAAGGTCCGACCTTGATAATCCATCCCATACTCTGGCTTATTAAAGTCTGGGAGGTTCCCTGCTTTGGTCTTGCCCACCTTGCTCAGCAGAACCTCTACCCCCGGGGGCTGACACCTGTTTGGATGTCTGAGTCTCACTCTCTCTCACTCAGCTGCCTCATGGATGGGCCCTATCCGCTTCTGGATTCACCATGCTCTGTGGCCGAGGCCTCTAACGGGTTGAATTATGTCCCCCCAAAAAGATAACCTTGAGTATCTGTGAGTATGACCTTATTTGGAAATAAGATCTTTGCAGATGTAACCAAATTAAGAAGAGGTCATCAGGGGGCATGGTCGGTGCCCCGACAAGGAGAGGAGAAGCCACATGACAATGGTGGCCGGGATTAGGTGACACGTCTCCACTCCAAGGATGGTCCTCAGCAGCAGGAGCTGAGAGAAGGGCCTCGGACACACTCTCCAAAGGAGCCAGCCCTGCAGACACCTTGATCTTGGACCTCTAATCCTGGGTCTCCCCAACAGCGAACCCAACCAGATGACATTTGCCCCTGACTTCATCCGTGAATCCCCTCCCACCCCATCATTAGAGCGCGATCACCCCAGGGAGTGGCCCACACGCCCAGGCAGTCTGGGAGTGGTACAAAATGAGTGCCTCCCTCGGTGAGCTCTTAACCCTACTCGGTCGACCTCTGTGCTCTGGACTCACCTTGGTGGTTTCGGTCATAAGAACGTAGATATCCTACAGTTTCTACCTTCTGATTTTGTCTGTCTGCAGGACTTTAGAGATCTGTCCATGTTCCCGAGAAGTAATCGATTTTGTCCACCCTGCTTCTGCTAACCACCCCTAGGAACTTTCCTACCGCTCAGCTCTGCCCACTAAGCCCGACTGTTTTGCCCCTTGGAGGTCAGCTCCAGCCCTGGACGTGGAAGGGGTGGACGAGGTGTGGACTACTGGTGGGGGAGAGTTCACGCACGGTCTTGAGAGAAGGTTGGAGTTTTTAGGGGCGGAGGAGGACTGGTGGGTATTCCAGGAAGACAGATCAGCCCATGAGAATGGGCCAAATTTCACATTTTAAAATTCAGAGGAGCACATTTCAAAATGTGGTCGGGGGTCTTGGGAGTCTCTGAGACTGTGTCAGGGGATCCGTAGGGTCAACACAAATTTCATTAAAAAGGTAATACTCGATTTGCCTTTTTCATAGTCAGATACATACGGCGATGTTGCCAAAGCGACGGTGGGTAAAATTGGTTGGCGTGAATTAAAGCCATAGCACCAAACTGCGCTAGCCGTCCCTGTTTCTTCACCGAACACGTGCAGAAATAAAGCATCCATTGCAGTTACGGATGTCCTTCATAAAGCGGCAAACAACACTCATCTGATGAGCTTTGGATCTTGAGTGCATACCTCTTAAGATCCTGCGTGATGAAGTGGGAAGCACGGACAGCGCTTCTGTCGTGCGCCAAAGTACAATGGTCGCCGGAGGGGTCATCCTTGTGCAGTTGTTTGGGTCGCACACTGAACCAGCCCCTTTACTCATGAAACACAAATTTTCCTTGGAAGGGTAACAGATAGTCGAGTGGTGAGTATTCAAACTTGAGTGTTTTGCAGATACTTATGGAACGTGAACTAGTAAACAATTGGCAGTATTCGTTGTCAGTGATAGTACTCAAGTTTTCAGAATAAGAATTAGAATGTTGGAGGTCTTATATTTCTGTTTGGTTTGAACTTGCATTTCCCTGTGGTTAATGACATTGGGCATCTTCTTGTGCGCTTATCTGCCACTTGTAATATGTCTTCTTCGTGTGATGGCGCATTTTGCCCATTTTTTGTCATATCGTTTGTTTTCTTCTTATTGAATTGTTGGAGTTCTTTATATATTCTGGACACAAATCCTTTATGAGACAGACGTTTGCAAATATTTTCCACCAGTCTCTGCAGCTTGTCTCTTAATTTTCTTTACAATGTCTTTCAAAGGCCAGAAGTTTTACATTTTTATGAAATCCCATTTATCAATTTTTTTTCTTTTATGGGTTTTGCTTTTTGTGTCCTAAGTAATCTTTGTCTAACTCAAAGTCACAAAGATTTTTTTCTATGACTTTTTTTTACAAGTTTTAAAGGGTTAGATTTTCACTTTAGCTCTCTGATCCATTTTGAGTTAATTTTTGCATATGGTGTGAAGTAGGAGTTGAGGTAGGTTTGTCTGTCTATTATCTATCTATCTATCTATCTATCTATCTATCTATCTATCTATCACCTATCTATTTTTGCATATGGATGTCTAATATTTCCAGCATTATTTGTGGAAAAGGTCATTCTTTCTCTATTGAATTTTCTTTGACACTTTCATTGGAAATCAATGAACTATACATGTGTATGCTTATTTCTAAATTTCCTATTCTTGTGTTCCATTGATCTACACAGATCTCCTTGCGCTGATAGCCACTGTCTTGATTACTATGATTTTATAGTTTTGAAATCAGATTGTGTGCATCCTCCATCACTGTTATTTTTTTTTTCAAATTTACTTTGGCTATTTTAGTTCTTTCCATATAAATTTTTTAATCAACTTGCTAATCTTTCACCAAAATGTCTCTGATATTTTGATTAAGGTTGTGATGAATTTGA